CAAAAATCAAGTGGTATTTATATAATTAATCAACCTAATCCAACCATTTTTCAAAACCTCTCTCCCCCCCATCCCGTCTCCATGTCTCTATTGTCGGTCCGAAAATCCACGCCAAAGGTGTGTGCATGGTCCTATGTTTCTCTCTACAACATCAATAAATATGAGTGCCGCTTGCCTCGCTGCTGCGAATCTGAGCACCATGGCTATGGTATCATCATTACAGCGCTGTGCTAATCACCTTCTCCAGGATCCTACCTTCTATGCTGTGGCTATGCTTGGTTCTCTGTGGCGGTGCTTGGATCTAAACGTCGCTGCGACAAATTTTGCGCGAACTCAAATCGACGCTCGCTGCAGCAATGACCACGGCCTCGAATGGCCTCTTGTTGACCAGTATATGTGATTGTGGCAAAAGAACTTTCAGAAAGACAACCATGGGCCTTGCCAAGTGATACTGTAACAAATCCCAAGTAGCAGCTAATGGCAATTAAAGTTTTGGAGAACGAGCAAATGGAGGCAATACAAGAAGTGGAATTCAACTTCTAGAAATTACATTTAAGAGATATGAGGTAATAAATGAAAAGGTTCCTTCCACGAATGAGGAATATGTTGTCATAGAAGGCAAGGGAGTGACTTGAGACTTGGCGTGACAAGGGAATATCATGGCACTGGATGGGAACATGACGTAAACCTATGGCAAATTAGGTCTAAGTTTTAGCTGTACATGGTGATAAGGGCATCATCTAATTTGGTGGGAGATTGACTTATGTCCCCTATGGTCATGGTTGATACGTTCAAGTTACGACTAGAAAAAATGGGTAACGCATGTAGTGCGCTACGGCTGGACGTAACTACATGTGGTAGGAGACACAAGATAAGAAAATTAGGTAGCACGGGCAATGAAGTACGATAGGACAAAACTACCTGTGATAGGGAACTTAGGTTGGGAAAATACAAGCATTGTAGCAGGGGACGCAGGCAGGAATCCATTTGTTGACCTAAATTAATCCATTATATATACATCCCATTCCTAGCCTGGTTTCGTGTGTGTGTGTGTGTTTGCAAGGTGGAGAGAAAATGTAAGGGCAGCCATCTTGGAAGAGAAATTCAACCATTACTGCCTCTATTCTCTTCTTCCTTCGTGGGTGCATTTAAACACCACCAAACTCTGTCCTTTGTGGGCAAACTTTTGACAACCGGAATGTAGGAGTTGTGGGTTGGAGCCGAGCTCCGTTGATGTTTATTTGTTAAATTTTATTGAGTCCGGTTCAAGATTTCTCGAAGAATTCCGCATCATAGTCAAATATAGGTTTCCATCAATTTGAGACACAATTGCAACAAACTTAAAAGGCTGGAGACTAAAGCGCTTTGCATAAAGGACCTACTTGCAATGTGAATTTTTATCAAAGTGAGTCCCACTCAACCTTAAAAATGCATTTGGTGCCATCGGTTGCGTCAAAGAGATAGTACAAAACAACGATCACGTTGGGCGGCGCCGCCCACTTGGACGCCGTGGATCCATTTTCCTACTATGTCAGCTGATTATAACGTGAACTTTGGTCCGTCTGGACAATGAAATTGTAAAATTTACAATGAAATTGTAAAATTTACTATTATTTTCCGTAGAAGCTTTGATATTTAAATTAATAAAAATATGATAATACTGAGGTGGGTTCATGATGATCATTGACTCATAATAAATAGAATATTTGTGATTGAGCAAGACAATTGAGAATTCTTTTTTTTTTTCTTTTTTTTAACATCTAAATCAACATTTCAATATTTCAAATTCCTTTTTTTTTCTCATTTTTATTTATAATTGAGAAAGAAATAGATGAAGTGAACAACTAGATTATGCAATTTTGTTTAATATTTTTTAACTTTAAATAACTGTAAGTTGCCAGGGCAACAAGCAATCCATATTTTCAATCAAGGGTGTAATAATCTTTGTATAGGCTCATAAAAATATGTTGTTCAACTACTATCATCTTTATTGTCATATGAAGATTTACAAAATTGATAATTGAATATTTGCTCTTTTTCCTATAAAGAAAAGATAAAGAATTTTAAAATATATAAGGACACGCTTACAATAATTTACATTCTATGGAATAATAAGACTCGTATTTTTTACCACCACCACCAATTTTCGACTTAGTACAAAATTTGTATAATTTTCTCTATTTTGCCATTACAATAAAAATGAAATCTCGAAATCAACGCTCACAAAATTTTTAAGAGGAGCATGATCCATATGTAACAAAAAAAGTTGTGCATGTTTATCTCGTCAAACGACCTTATCTAATTAATTTTAATTGTACAAGTCGAGTTCAAACGTTTTAGAAGTTAATTTTTATTTTATTTTTTTAAATGTTTAAGCCAATTCAATTTTAAGCAATTTGATCCTTTTAATTATTGTTCTTATATTATTTGTGTAATTTATATATTGAATTTGAAATTAAAAGAAAGGAAAATTGGATTATATAAATTGACAATAAATCGTTTACAAGTCCCTAAAGTGAGAGAAAGATAGATTAAATTCCCACATCGAAAAGTCAAAAGTAAGAGCAGCCGGGGTGCGGGGGTGGGTGTGGGGGGATAAAACTTAAAATCTGACACAGCTGCAATAGAGTTTAAAATGTAATCCCACATCGGAAAATAACGAGTTTGGGATAGCAAAGGCGGCTCTATATAATTCACACGCTTTACCCTGACTAAACTTACCTGTCCTGTCGGGGGTGCTTAGGCGACTCGTTAATGATCGTTTAGAGACGACGGGTCGTGCCGACACCCACTTAATGAACACACCTTCTTAAGGCGAGCGAGTCTGCCCTACTTTCGGTGGACTTGCCCGTCAATTTTTGGAAGCCCTCGATTTCTATTGGGGGCTCACCAATAGAAATTAAGGGAGTGTTTGATAGATATTTATATGTATGAATATATTTAAAAAATATTAAATTGATGTGAAATGTTTGGTGGAAAAATAAGGAAATATTTTTTGTTTGTGTAATATTATTTTAATAAAGAATGTGGTTGAAAAGAAGAGAAAGAAAAATTTATTTTGAAGAAAATGACAACCAAACGAGGTCCAAGTATAATAAGAAGAAATGAATTTATAAAATTGTGACAATGCTGCTAGGGGTGGCCTGTCGGTAATTGTTG